TTTTTTTTTTTTTTTTTTTTTTTTTGTTAAAAAAGACCTCTTATTCGCCGGTCATACAACTATCCATGAGACTTGCGAGTATTACAACACAATCTTATGTCACGTAGATGTATTTGTTATCTAACACCAGTAGCATGTGGCCTTTTTGTGTCATGGTCAATGTTGAAAGTTGTAATGACATTATATTTACCAACGAGGCAGAACAAGAAGAGTTACCAGAAACCTGACAATATACAGTTGACGAGGAAGGGGAAGACATTCAAGTCGAGCAATGTGTACGATGAGAGCTTTCAAGAACTCGAAAAGAGATTGGTAAGTGCACTAAAAATTTGATAGTACACACTGACGCATCTAAAAAAAGATTGAGTTGTGTACTCATGCAAGATAAAAAAAAAAAAAACGTCATTGTTTATGCATCATGACATTTGAAATATTATGAACCCAATTATTCAGCACATGACTTGGGAGTCATGCCGTGATATTTACTCTAAAGATGGGACGTAAACGAGAACCCTATTAATTTGACCAAAAATTCTATTTAGCATTCTAAGATTTCAATATGATTTTTTAAAAAAAACTTTTAATATGAAGTTAAAAATCACAATTATAAAAATAATTCTATTCAAAATAATAAATAATTATATTAAAAAAAAACAATAAATCACAATAATAGTTGTACAATTAAAGTTAGTATTTAGGGTGATTAATCAAACTCGACCTACCTCACTCACCGCGCATCTCTTCCAAACTTTCGTGTATTACAATTTGAATAAAAATATTAATAATTAAGAGTTAGCCCATTATTTTCCTTATAATGTAGGACTTAACGTTGATCATTCCCGCTCATAGTGGTATAAACTTTAATATCAATATTAAAAGTAATAAAAAAAAACACTAAAATTTTAAACTAATATTACATTCAATAAATATAATTGTAATAATTTTAATAATAACCAAATTTTGATGCAATGAGCCAAGTTCGAAAGGTAGATCAAACTACGTGGATTTGAACTTCTAATTTTTTTATATCGATAACATATATTTTAACCAATGAAGCAATTTGAAAACATTTTCGGCCTTCTTCACTTCATTCTTATGAATCAAAACACATCAGCTTACTAGATCTCAATTTCCTTGGTGGAAAAGGGCAAAATGGAATCCAAACTCTTGATGGGTAGCATGTGATTTAAGGACATGACCATCTTTCTCTGTTCTTGAATATTCTTGATATCATTCCCTCTGTAAGGAACAAGGAATAAGAGCAAGAGTGGCATCATAAAGAGGATTTTCTTGCCATCTTCAATGTCCTTTCCTTTTCCCAGAACTTGGCTGAACGGATTTTGAGATTATCAGACAAAGAACTTCAAAAAGATGGCTTTTTGACAGATGGGTATCTCCAAAACACCCATTTACTTCATAATTAAGGCTTATTATCAAAGTAACCATTTGTGTTTGTGTGGGGAAGTTGATGAAGAAGAAGAAGAACATGCCTTGCTTCTGAATGGAGTTGAGTGCAAAGAAAGAAGGCATTTCCTTTGCTTCCTTGCTTATAAACTTCAGAAACAACACTGTTCAGAAGATGATAAGCCAGAGATTTCAGGAGATGGGAACTAGTCAAAGAAGGTACATTTTTTCTCCTTGTCCTCTTTCCCCACTTCAACTTTTCATCTACTTCATCATTTACTACTCGAAAAATTTAAAAAGAAGAAGAGAAGATGAGAAACATTAACCAGAAAAGTGTCAAATCATATCTCTGAGTCACTAGAGGTCGAGAAAAATTTTGCTTCAGTTAAAAGTGATAAGAATAAGAATCAAGAGCCATAGTGTAACGGCCCAAGCCGACTACTAGTAGATATTGTTCTCTTTTGGCTTTCCCTCAGGGTTTTAAAACGTGTCTACTAGGGAAAGGTTTTCACACCTTTATAACGAATGATTCGTTTCCCTCTCCAACCGATATGAGATCTCACAATCCACTCTCTTTGGGGGCCCGCGTCCTCACTGACACACCACCTAGTATCTGGTTCTGATACCACTGATACCACACGTTTTAAAACCTTGAGGGGAAGCCCATAAATGAAAGTCCAAAGAGAACAATATCGACTAGCAATAAGATTGGGTTGTAAAAAATGATATAAGAACCAGACATCGGGCAATGTGCCAGCGAGAACGTTGGGCCCTCAAGGGGGTGAATTGTGAGATCCCACATTCGTTAGAGAGAGGAATGAAGTATTTTTTATAAAAGAGTGGAAACCTCTCCCCAACAGACGTGTTTTAAAACCTTGAGGAGAAGCTCGGAAGGGAAAGCGGTGGGGTTAGAGGTGTTACACATAGAGCTTAGCTTCTTCTATCCCTCTGTTTTTTTTAATACCGATAGTAATATGACTATTTACTGCTTTGTAGAGTGAGTTTTTCTGAACCAGGACAACATAAGAAAGATGCTTCCATCAAACCTAGAGATGGAATTCCACAGCCAAAAACAAGATCCTTCAAAGAGGGTACTGATGAAAATTGCTGCTATATCTTCATAACCCTTTTCATCCATGTGGTTGTAGTGCAAGCAGAAGCTTTTAAAACTGACCCCCCTCCCTCCATTTTCCAGATAAAAAGGAGTCCAAGGGGTTACAATGGCATTTTTCAAACCAAATGAATGAAGATTATGATTCAAGGGACATAGAGTTTGCCACTGCAGTAGCATCAGCTGCATTTGCAATTCGCTCACACGAAGAAGCAAAGTTACAATACCAGAAAAAGAAGAAGGAAAGCCAAGAAACCCCAATGACAAAGGTTAAAAGCAGAAAAGATGAGACGGCTGCATTAGCTTCAAGCATAACAAGGCGATTGTCTAACAAAGAAACGAACAATCCTGGTAATTATAAATATTGTGCTTAGAAGTTTTTCTGTGAAATTCCACCTCAGTTGGAGAAGATAAAGAAACACTCCTTATAAGGGGGTGGAAATCTCTCCTCAGCAGACACGTTTTAAAAACTTTGAGGGACGCTCGAAAGGAAAGCCTAAAGAAAACAATATCTGCTAGTGGTGGGTTTGGGCTGTTACAAATGGAATTAGAGTCTGACACTAAGCGGTGTGCTAGCGAGAATGTTCGGCCCCCCAAGGAGGGTGGATTGAGAAATCCCATATTGGCTAGAAAGGAAAACGAAACACTCCTTATAAGGGTGTGGAAACCTCTTCCTAGCAAACGTATTTTAAAAACCTTGAGAGGAAGCCTAAAAGGGAAAGCTCAAAGAGAACAATATTTGCTAGCGGTGGACTTGGGCTGTTACATTCTCGTAACAATTTCCTGTCACAAAAAGTAATCATGTTCATTACACTAGGTCAATCTTCAATAAAGAAGCCAATAGGAAACGAAAAGGACTTGGTGACGGGAATTCCTTTACCGCCACCGAGACGAAGCCTTGTACCAACCAAAGCAGATGTATGGGAGAGAAATAAGATGGAGAAGATTAGAAAAAGGTATATTCTACAATCCATCAGTATAATATTCTGTCAGCTGCTGCATCCCTCAATCCTCAGGAGTTGACATCAGTTGCAAGTTCTCGTGTTTATGAGACAATTGCACTAAAAGATCTCTCATCTTAGTCCAGAAACTTGCTTATAGAGCTATTTTCTATGACACTCATATTTCAGGTATCAAAAGAGAAAATCTTCAATTCTTGACTGGGAGAACGAGAAAAAATTGCTTGCAAAACTTCATATGGAAAAGGAAAAGGCTGAACTGGAGCGCAAAAAGTCGGTGTTTTCGCGACATTACCAGGACAAGATAGTACAAGTTGATCGGATCGCGGGGGGAGCAAGGACACAACTAGAAGAGAAAAGAAGAAAGGAAGAGAATAAAGCAAGAGAAACAGCAAACAGAATCCGATCGACCGGAAGACTTCCTGTCACTTGTTTCTGCTTCCAATGTCACTAAGAATGAGATTTTACCTTGTTAACACAGAAGCATGAAATCATGCAACTCCTATTTATTTACATTTCACTTAAACTAATTTCGGTCCAAAATCAATATCAAGTCATTGTAATCTTAGAACCACGGTCTCTGCATAATACCGACTCAAAGGTTGTGTGCCATAATCTTAAAGTTTAATAAGAAAAACCCTTGTTGTATCAAGCGTCTAAGTATTTACAGTCACATTTCAAAATCCTTCCACTGAAAATTAAACAGAATCAGAGAAGAACACATGGGGAGGTTTTCTAATGGATGAACAATCCTGTCTGTTAGGACAAAGAACCCATAATGTAAATTGTAACAGAGGGACCCAACTGACTTTGGACTACATTCTATGGCCTATCTATCAATCCAGAGAGTCATCTAGGCCAGCTTCAGTGAAATGGACATTAAACTATCATCAAAGCATGCCAAAATTCTGCTAAATTCTTAGCTACAGTATATTAAATGACTCCAACTCATAAACTCATCAAAATTCTTAGGCAAAACTCAAGTTCACAGAAGATATTTGCTGGGTTCATTTGAGATTTTAAGCGATGCTTCGCTAATAAATATAGAATGCATGTTCTTATGGTTTTGAAAATTCATCAACAGCTCGAAATGCATTAATGCCTTCAGTGATATCACATGTTTGTATCCATATCATAACTTCCGCTGTTGGATGATATCAGTGCAGATCTAGCCAATAGGAAAAGGAAAACTCAGAGAGAAAAAAATGACGACAACGACAACTTCTAATATAAGTTGGGAGAGAAGAGAGCCTGTGGTGCCAAGTTCAGACCCTGCCTTCAGTCTATTTATTCACCTAACTTCATTAATGTGTCCCAACCAAATCAATAAAAGCATAGGGTGTAGAATCATTTAACATAAAAATCCTTTATCCAGAAACCATTCTATAAATATATATGAACAAAAGTCAGGAATACACAAGAGAATAGAATGATATTAGTCCTCCCTTTTAAGAGGGTACGTTGCAGAAGGAATCATAAAGAAACTTCATTGCCAAATTCAATTGATCCAAATGAATGAATTTGAAAAATGATTGAATGATATCTGTTTCTTTTGTTATTTGCTATCAGTTTTTACTCTTCTGAACAGTATAAATAGAGAACATAATGATTGCAAATGAAAAGGACAAGTTTTGGTTGAAGGCTTTCATTTCCCTTGAGTCTAGATGAATGGGATGTAATTGAATATATGATTTGATGCAAATACTGGCATGTTCTTGAGGGTTTCTTTCTACAAAGAAAAAGAAGAGCTTAAATTTTGACGTAAATATGGTCCCTTTATTGATAAAGTCTACGGTTCCATTGAATATGGGGGGTTGATAAATCAAATAGGCTCTGGACCCTTATGAGAAACTTGCATGGCTACCATTGGATAAGTACAAAACTGACAATTGTATTATTAAATATATAATGTGGACATGATTTGAAGGTGAGTTTGTACGATTCTTACTATTGTGATAATGATTTGAAGTAAATTCCTATGCTATTCACTCTACCTTCATACTTCAGCTGTTCATCTTCTCTCATTTTGTGGTATATTATTCCTTCTTTTCTCCCTAAAACTTACTTTGAATAGCTATTTCTTACAAAAATAGTGAACTTGAGTAATGGGTAATGAAGGAAAAAGGGTAAAATTTCACAAAATCAAAGAGAGAGAAACTTTACCTCAACTCAGCGATGAGCCATCCCAGGGTTTTGTTTGCTGCCACAAATGAAGAAGTTATTGTAAAATCTGAAGTTCACTGGCTATCATAGACACCAGAAAGGGACCAGAGTGACAAGGATATAACAGAGTGTCCAAAGTTGAACCAAAATCTGCTGTTCCATTTGTTTATGTGTTGATTGAGGTGGAGAGAGAGAGAGAGAGAGAGAGAGAGAGAGAGCTAGAGAAAGAGGCTACATGAGCCATTGTGTAGTTCCAAAATGGAATATGAGCCACGAAAGACAAGAGCAAGTCGAAGAAGAGGAGGGAAAGAGATCCTTTCACGTGCCTGCCCAGAAGAATCCCCACAGTACCACTAACCCTCTTGTCCCCTTCTACAAGCAAATGTAAATATCATTTTGTTTTCTACAAATTTCAATACCTTCATGGAAAGCTCTGAACAATTTCTGATGCAGAATGCGGAAGGAAACAGAAATCATCAAGATTTCTCTTGTTGATTGTTAAATTATTTGATCCACAAAAATTTGAAGGTGGGATTTCTTTTTTGATATTATCTGATTTGTTCAGGGCAAAGCATGGAGTAACAGAACTAACCTGGCAAAATGGGCAACTCGCTCTACATGGGGTTGATGGGATGCACCCAACAGGCCTCACAAAGCCCACATGGAGCCGAGCCAATGAAACTTTGGAGTCCGTAGTCAATCAAGCCAATCTCCAAACCCAAGGCCCAAATTTGATCCATCAAGGCGAGCCACTAGTCCATACAGGCCGTCCCCTCATACCCTCCGGTGCCAATGGCAAATGGGTTGAGAGGGGCAACCAAGAACCGCCGGCGAGAAAAAAAACACGGTCGACCTCCGATTATGCTGGAAAAAATGTCAGCACAAGCAATAACAACACTATGCAAGTGGACCTTGGCGACCACAGTGTGTGTGGTAGTGCGAGTGCAGCGTTTTGTAGGGATAATGACACTACTTTGATGACATGGGCTTCCTTTGATTCTCGAAGCATGAAAACCAAATCCATTGATGAAGATTCTGCTTGCCATGTTGAATCGGTAACGTTTGATTTTGTTGTTCAGTTGATTTAGAATCTGTAGAATTGAAAGTGGAGAATCCCATGAAAGAATTTGATCCAAATTTTGATAAAAAAAAAAACTGATTTCACTTGTTCAAGGAAAATCAAGAGGAAGAACAAGATGTAAAGCGTGGAGCAAGTCGCTCTCATTCAGCTAGACGAAGTCGAGCAGCTGCTATACATAATCAATCCGAACGAGTAACTATTTGATCTCTGAACATTGTTTGTTATAAAACCGATACAACACTAATGATTATGGTATCAAATCTATGCTTTATATTATTTGCACAGAGGCGAAGAGATAGGATTAATGAGAAGATGAAAGCCCTGCAAAAGTTGGTTCCAAATGCGAGCAAGGTAAAAAAATGAGTATCTTTTTATTGATAATCATTGGTATAGGACTCAAGAATCTCAATGATATTTGGATTTTGAATGTTTGCAATGAATTTAAGCTAATGTTGGATGTATGATATAACAATCGATTGAGGCAGACTGATAAAGCTTCAATGCTGGATGAGGTGATTGAATACTTGAAGCAACTTCAAGCACAAGTTCAGTTTATGAGTGTGAGGAGTATGCAACAGATGATGATGCCTATAGGAATGCAGCAACAACTTCAAATGTCGCTGCTAGCACGAATGGGCATGGGGGTCGGTCTAGGCATGGGAATGGGGATGCTCGACATGAGCGGCATGGCACGTCCAGCCCCACAGTCGCTTCCTCCTCTCATCCATCCTAATTCAGTTCCCGCTACGCCTCCCGCATTCATTCCGCCCCATTTCTTGATGCCCCCTGCAATTCCAAGGCAGGATCCAACACAACCAAAGCCTGCCTCCAATGACTCTGTTGATCCATTTTGTGCGTTTCTTGCACAAGTATGGGACATTATCCCTTCCTGTTCTTCATGTTCTTCATGTTCTTTTGTTGATAGACATGTGATGATCTGGTTTTTGGTGCAGACAATGAATATGGATATCTACAACAAAATGGCAGCTTTCTATCGCCAACAAGTTAATCAGACAACAAATGCAACGAGCAGCCCAACACAGTCAAACAACGTGCAAGGAAATTAATGCTTTATTGGATAAGCACAGTAGCACTCAACATTATTTACTTCATAAGTTCTCTGTTTAGTTGAAAAGGACTGCACTTCCAAAATATCTGTATTTCAAGATTAGTGAGTAATTATTTGTATTGAATTATGTACAAACATGATTCTGCATTGCATACTAAATTAAATTTCTGGTGAAAAATCCTTGTTTGAAATAAAAGCAGGAGTGACCGACAAGATTTATGCTTTTGTTTTCATGGTTCCTCGATCTTCCGATAAATTTAGTGATTATTTCAACATTTAAAATGATTACATCACGTGTGGGGAAACATAGATATCTTAACTGTGAGTTCCAATAATTTTGGATTGTGAGTAATCTCGGAGGTAGATTTTAGAGGGTCGGGGATGAACAAACTTCTAATCTAGTATAAACAAAAACATAAATGAAAGGGAGACATTTAACTTCATAACTTCAATCTATAATCAATAGTCAAGTGTTCGTAGTGTCGAATTGACTGATAACCTAGGATAAACAAACAAGGATTTGGCTTGATAACTTGATATTACAACCTAAACATGTAGCTCAATTAAAGAGCAAGAGTGGCAATTTGTTTACTAATCAGAGAAAGAATTGAAACAAAGAATTGTCCTTGTTTTTGTCTGTTTCTTCTGATCAAAGGCAAACAGGTCCATTCCATTCATATTGTTGCACCAATCTCTATCCAAATGAATATGATTGGTTTGAGCTGTCCCCTCCATTAAATGCCTCATTTTCTGAATAAGTCATAGGAAAGAATAAACTTAAACTACAACAGTTGGAAGTGCATTAAATTCTTTGTATTGACCCATAAGAGATTGTGAGTAATTTAGAAGAACATATTGTATGAACAAGCCACGGGTATCTTTAAGACCTTAAAGGACCATAAAAAAGAGGCCCCTTTTGGATATGGTAATGTGAAAGTAATATCATGAGGATCACAATGAAAGGAGATTGATGGGTGTATTGGTATCAAGTTTATGAAAATCTGGACCATTTTTTTTTCTTTTTCTGTGGACAAGTTTTGCCTCTGCTTACAGGCTGGATGGAAGATCGTGGATTGGATATAGAATCTCGATTGGGCATCCTCGTTTGATAACCATCTGGTTGTTTTCATCTTTTTCGAACAAACATTTGAATTCATAGCTAAATTTTAGACACAAACTGTAATAGTACAAACTCACCGTTAACAAATATTGTTTGTTTTGACCCATTATGTATCGTCAAACGCGTTAGTTAGGGAGAGGTTCCACACTCTTATAGTGGGATCTCACGATCCACCCTCCTTGGTGGCCCAGCGTCCTTGTTGGTGCACCGTCCGATGCCTGGCTATGATACCATTTGTTAACAGATATTGTCCGCTTTGGCCCGTTACGTATTGTCGTCAGCCTCACGGTTTTAAAATGCGTCAGTTAGGGAGAGGTTCCCCACCTTTATAGTGGGATCTCACAATCCACCCTCCTCAGGGGTTAGCATTCTTGCTGGTGCACCGCCCGATGCCTGGCTCTAATATCATTTGTAACAACTCAAGTCCACTGTTGACATATGTTGTCTGTTTTAGCTTGTTACGTATCGCTATCAACCTCACAGTTTTAAAATGCGTTAGTTAGGGAGAGATTCTACACACTTACAGTGGGATCTCACACGAAAGCCAACTTTTAAGGATGACTTCTTGAGTGCCCGGAATAGTTAGGGCATACCTTGAAAGGAAATTCGTAGGATATTAAATCATAAGGGAACTCGCCTCTGTTTGTTATTTTTGTTTAGCTGCAAACTTGGTACAAAATAAATCCAAGCTTGGATTGAGGGAAGGATTATGGTGAGGCTATGATGAAGGCAGTGGTAGGGCATATGGGATGGAATAATCCACAATTCATCTTGTCATGTAATAAATTTTAGATGAAGACAGGGGAAGGTTCAGGAATTGAAAAAGGCATCTTCAGATTCATCTATTCTATCAGCATTCTTCAGTTAGGACCATATTGACTTCCACTTTCCTAACATTTCTCTCTTTATCACGTAATGAACTTACACGCGATAAAGTCACATCCATCTAATCTAAGGACGTGTTTACTGTGGCTTCTACGTCATTACGATTAATTGTGTTTGATTTTCAAACTACTTCGAGATCTATAAGTAACGTGTTTATGTTGTAAGAGATTCAATGAAATATTAGAGCTATTAGGTGTTAAATATGAATTCCAGATCTTAGTTCAAATTCTAGGTATGTGTCCTTACACGTAGCATTAGAATGGAACATCTCTTTGGGATAAACAAGGTCGAAGTTGATGAACATGTGACACTCGAGTAAATGAGAGGTACATGAATGGATCGAGAGTGACCCTAAGGAGATGATGGTTAAGAATTGCTTTAAAGAATTGAAAGTTACTCTCTATACTAATAATCTATACTAACAAAGTGCACGTTTCTTTCGATGGCTCAATCATAAGAATTCTAAAGTTAAATGTGCTTAGTGTCACAATCACACTTTTGCAGCAGGACATTGTGTGATACTTGTTTTAACCCAGCGAACAAGTTAGCCATGAGAAGCTCAAACGTTGTGGACAATGTTGGTGTTTGCTCGGGTCTCTAGTCACGTTTACGAGAAATGTTTTAGAAAACGTTAGCAATGAGAGATTTTTGAAAGAAGGTTTGAAAGCAGGTTGAAAGTCGTTATATGGCTATAAGCAAAGGAAAAACATCACAACTTAAATATCATATAACTCGGGTAGAAAGAATTGACACCTAAACACATCCACATCCACCTATAGTATATTTTAAGGGCATTTTTGCCCTGACGGGTATAGACATAATTTTGGTGAACGATCATACACCCTCGTATTTTGGTGAACGATCATACACATGAAATAGTAAAAACCTAAAATGAAAGCATGAAAAACGAGCTTGAAACGTGTATATGGCCATGGACAACACGTCTTGAACAAGCATGACCGGGACATCTGACATGCAGCTATAGACAACATGTCTTGAACAAGCATGACCGTGACATTTAGCTTAAAGAAATTTAATATTAGATGATTTCCGAAGAATTTTTAGCAAGTAGGTGAGTGAGGACAGAACGTGTTAAAAGGACTCAGGTTAGTTGGTAGAGATAATCTTGACCGTTAGAATTAATCTAAAACAAGTAAAATAAGTAACATAGTAATATCACATATGAGATGCAGAGAAATATCGAGACATAAGTGCCAAATCTAGATTCCAAATCTTGGTCATTATAGTTCCATTTGATATTGATATGATGCAATGATAATGACACTTTCATTCTGGATCAAAGTATTTGATCCATGGCGAAAAATCACATTTGCAACACTGTAAATGACTACAAGTTTCTTTACGTAAATCGTGACTGATTAGCATTCAAATTTCAAGTGTACA